AAAAAAAAAAAAAAAAAAAAAAAAAAAAAGTGTGTGCCGTCACGAGGGACTGCTAGTGATATACTGGAGGAAGGTGGAGATGGGCCACACACGTGCTACAATAACAATTACAATGGGAAGCAAGACTATAAGATGAAGCGAATCCGAAAATATTGCCTCAGTTCGGATTGTTCTCTACAACTCGAGAATATGAACTCGTAATCACGGATTAGCATATCGTGGTGAATGTGCACCTAAGCCCTGTACACACTGTTCATCACACCATGGACATGGGTTTCGCTCGAAGCATTGGACCAACTCTCACCCATGACTTCCATGTTAGTTTACTTATTTTCAATCATTTACTTAAAATTTGCAACCGTGCATATTTTGAAAAATAATACCTTCCAAATAATTTTTTATAAAAAAAAAATTGTCGAAAAATAAATAATAGAGAAGTATACACTTTATTTTAAAATTAACCATGATTTCAGCGGATTTTATTTAACCTAATCTAGTTTTAAAAGGAAACTTATGAACCAACTCAATCTATAAATTTTCATTTATTTGAACTCAACGGATTGAATATCTCGAGTCATCAGATGTTTTGAATGCCTCTATCCATTTTTACTAATATCAAATTGAACGCTAAATTCACATAACTGGTAAAGCTAAGACCTTCTGAAAACTAAATTAAAAAGTTTCTCATTACTCGACTAATTAATGGCCTCAAATCCAACATAAAGATATCAGATTTTGATAATGAACATCTCATTGATAATTAGGATAAACGATAATGGTTAGCTACGAACATCTTCTCGATAATTTAAAGTTAAATCATGATTTTTTACCTAAATTTATTTAGTTTGTCATTTTGTAATTTATAAAATTAAAATGGGTAGGTTTGATTTATGTGGGAGAGGACAGTTGCATTCTTAAATAAGGAAAATCGCAAACCAAATATAGACATAACTTTAAACTAGGATCACATTTTTCACAATAAATGCTATATATTTTGACACCTTAAATATAAATATTTTTGTCTTCTAATGCTTTTTTTTTTCTACTTTTAATATTTTTAAATTTATTTTACTTTGATTTGAGCTCCATAGTTTCTTAATTTTGGTACCCACTTACCATTTATCGTGTAACTCAGGTCCTACGTGAATGGAAAGAGTAACATAAATAAATATAAAAATACTAAGTAAATAGCTATGATGGTTAAAGCTCGATCAGCTCCTCTAAACGTATCAATAATAAGAAAATCTTTTATATTAAATTCAAATAAATTCTTCGAGCTCATCTCAATCATTGGTGTCACATGACTAAGCCAACGATTGGTTTCACATCATTTACCTCCGACTACTATTATCAATTCAACTGTTTATTTTATTTATTTATTAATAAAATTATCCAATTCCCATTTTTTCTTGCATAAATTAAAATACAAAAAGGAACATAATTAACATCCATCTCTTTGTATGAGCCATCCTTTTCAATATAAATTGATTGACCACCAAATTTGGAGTTTTTTTCTTTTCTTTTTTTTTTTTGAAGAAGAAAATAGAAAAAATATATATAATATATATTTTAATTTTAAAAAATGGGATTGGGAAAGGATTCCAAGTACAGTCACGTACTTTGGTACAACTTCTGGAAATTTCACAATCCTCTATTTTGTAGGCCACATTCAAATCCCTTCAACAAATAACCCTCTCTTTCTCTCTCTAGCCCTACTCTATTTCTCTCACCTAACCCTTTTATTAATATCCATTAAACACAAATTAAAAATACTTTCCCGATATGACTAGTACGAATGCGTACTATGATATGATATAGGCTCTTTTCCCTCTATCGGTTTTGATAGTGTGAGCTTACGCTAACGTATATGTAACAACTCAAGTTCATCGCTAGTAGATAAAGTCTTTTTTGGGTTTTCTTTTCTGAGCTCCCTCTCACAGTTTTAAAATATGTCTATAAGGAGAGTTTTCGCACCCTCCTAAGAAATGTTTCGTTTCCTTCTCCAACTGATGTGGGGTCTCACAATATACGAGTTTGCCTGGTAGGTTCATGTACGCATTTATGAGCTATATGTACAGAACTACTACACATTCAACCATGTCTTGACTGAAAAGTAGAGTCGAATGAATAGTTACGAAAAGATAAGTCCATCATAATTGCATGTGACTGCATTTTTCGACCACAACAGTGAGTATATTAATAAAGTTAGGATAAGTTATATAAGGGTGTATGCATTTCTTTTAAATTCTTGTTAAGAGCAGTTGTTTTTCTATTTTTCAATTTCGCTATCTGATTGATGTTACTTTTTGATTTTGAATGAAATTTTGTGAACGTTTAAGTCCTTAGTAACGTTTATAGTGAAATATTTTAAAGAATTTCTACATATATTAGACATGTCATGCATACAACGAACTCCTTATTTTAATAAAAAAAAAAGGATCATTACAAAAATATTTTAAAATGTATAATTAAAAAGGAAATAGAAAAAACCTAAAAATCTAATAAATACAGACTATATTTTTAAATTTTAAAAAATTTGTGCAAGAACAATCAAACTCGAGTCGAAAATTACACTAAATTAACGATCAAACAAAAAATAATTAGCTCAACTCGTTAAGAAATATATTCGAACGGTTTGTAAGAGGTGGAAGGATAAGGCTATACTTCATCATTCATACTTCACCACCACAAAATGTTAACTGGTATAATTAATAAAATCCAAAAAGAAAAACCCCTCATTATTATTTTCCCACATATTTTTAAATATTTTCTTTTATATCAAAAAATAACGTTATTATAAATTTAATAGTATGCAAAAATACGAGACTTGGTAACATCTGAATAAATGAGAGGTACATAAATGATAACGACTATAAAAATACGGTAGCTCAATCATAAGAACTCCAAGTTTAATCGTGTTTTACTTGAAGCAATTCTATGTTGGGTGGCTTAAAAACTTTTCTATGATTAGACAAATAATCTATAAGAGGTCGTTGACCTACGTTAATTTTGTGAAACTAAAATGGCAGCTCCAAAATAAAATATATTAAATTGCCTGAGACATAAAATAAATGTAGAGACATACCGACATAGATTTCGTAACTCAATCATTATACGACTCGTCACTCATCTCATACGTTATTCTTATTATCGTTATTCGAAGAAAATGTAAGCTATAGTAGAGGTAAAATATTAAAAATATTCCGTAAATAACCTTCTAATGATGATAGATATGCATATATACAAATAAACATGCAACGCGAATCTATAAAATTTAAATAATTATTGAAAAAATATACCACTTTTCTGTGGTCACTATGTCCCGTTAACCCATTTTACCGAATGTACTAATTCTCTGGTGGTGCGTAAGTGAGAGTCGTGGGAGGCTTTACCGAGATGGTAAAATTTGGCACGTAGTCAATGAAGCTAATTCTTGTCGTATTTGGGATATCAGGATCATGAAACTAAATGAATAGCGTATCCTTCATAAATATGCATGACATCTATATACGACTTTCCAATATAGATAACAAATGCATGCACAATCACATTAAATCGCACGTTACAACAAAATTCATATGTATCTAATCTAGTCATGAGGCTGACCATTATCTGAACTACTTAATAAGAAGAAAATTCCAACCATTACTAAATTTGCCTACGTGGGCTCAAACTAGCTCAATCTAAAATAATTTTAAGATCAATACAAAATATTATTATTGAACAATTATCCAAAATGATTTTTTTTTTAATTTAAAAGTTTTATCAAACATGAAAATTTCGGAAAAGGCAATGATATTTTCGTAAATAAAGAAAGAATAGAAGGGTACAATAGTAATTAAGAGAGCTCCATTCTCAGTTGTCACGTGCTCTCCCATCAGCCACCACGCACGCACGCGTGCATGAGAAAGTTTAGTGTCCTATCAGTGTATATATATATATAAAGAAAAATAATAATTAATTTTTTTTTATCCTTTTTAATATTTATTTTAATATGTTATCAAATTAAATAAGCGAAATAATTAATATTTGATAATCAAAGGACATAAAATAAAAAAAAATTAAAGTAAAAGAATTTACTTAATATTTAAACCTTCATTAAATTAATATGTATTTACAAATATAACAAAAAGTTAAAAAAATTACAAAAAAAAAACATTTATGACGTTATAAATATTTAATTTAGAATAAGAATTAATTAGACTTTAAATTTTGGATTGGGACGGACCCACGCAACAAGTTTTCCTTTCGGCCTCTCAATTTGTCGTCTCTCTCGTTTGGTTCTTTCCTCTCCAAAGCGCACTTTACCATTTCCCTTCACTTTTGTGCTAATTTGCGCCTCTCGTCTTATCCTTCGCACCCTCTCCTCTCTTATTGATCTTCACAGTTTGGAGCCTCATATAACCAAGTTACGCGGCAAATGCTTCTTCCTTCGTTATGTTTGCGATTTTGAACTCAGATTTTGCTTCTGTTTCAAGATCTTGAACTTTCTCTTCCATTTCTCCCAGGGATTTTTGCTTTTGTTTTTGTTTTTGTTATCTCTGCTTTGATTCATGATGGCTGGAAGTAATCAAATCAACCTCAACGACTCTAAGGTACTACTCTGATTTGTTTAATTAATTTTGTTTCTAATTTTGTTTGTGCTCATTTGAGTCGCTTCCCTTTTGCCCCTGCGTTTCTTTCTATTATTAGCCGATCAATCGTTGACTCTGATTTTTGTTTTTTCTTTTCCCCCTTTTTTGGGAGGGTTTTTGTAAATTTTGGGTTTCTTTGATGTTATGTGGGTTTGGGTGTTGATCTGAAAGCATTTAGTGTTTGGTGTTGATTACGGATTGACCGACAGGTTTCTATAATTGTTCGAGTGTGTTTATGTCTGGTTCGAGCTGAAATTGGTTGTGTTTTGTTTTTGTTGTTGTTCTTGCTGATATATGGGAAGATTAATTCCATTCTTTGTGTTTTCTTTGGATATTGCTCTCTTGGGAGATGGTTTTTGACTGTTTGATTTAGGATTTTGTTTGAGAATTTCTGAGATTGTTTTGGATATGCTTGTTTGCTGCATAGATGGTGGTTCCACTTAATACCTGGGTTCTTATTTCCAACTTTAAGTTGGCTTACAATCTTCTTCGTCGCCCTGATGGCACGTTCAATCGCCATTTGGCCGAGTTTCTTGACCGAAAAGTCCCAGCCAATGCTAACCCTGTTGATGGGACTTTCTCATTTGATGTCGTTATCGATCGAGCTACTGGTCTCCTTTGTCGAATATATCGACCCGCCATTGGAGATGAATCTCAGAGTACTTACATTGTTGATCTTGAGAAGCCTGTGGATTCTGAGGTTGTTGCCCCTGTTATTATTTTCTTTCATGGTGGAAGCTTTGCTCATTCCTCTGCTAACAGTGCTATCTATGATACGCTATGCCGTCGATTAGTCAGCATTTGCAAGGCTGTTGTCGTCTCTGTGAACTACAGGCGTGCGCCTGAGAATCGTTATCCTTGTGCTTATGATGATGGATGGACTGCGCTCAATTGGGTAAAGTCAAAATCATGGCTTCGAAGTAAAGACTCGAAGACCTATATTTATTTGGCTGGCGATAGTTCAGGTGGAAACATCGTACACCATGTTGCATCGAGAGCAGTAAAGTCGGGGATCGAAGTATTCGGTAATATACTTCTCAATCCTATGTTTGGAGGGCAGGAAAGAACTAAATCTGAGGTTCGGTTGGATGGAAAGTATTTCGTTACCATTCGGGATAGAGACTGGTATTGGAGGGCCTTCCTTCCTGAAGGGGAAGATAGGGATCATCCAGCATGTAATCCCTTCGGCCCGAGAGGTAATAGCCTCAAAAAAATCAAGTTCCCAAAGAGCCTTGTCGTGGTGGCTGGTTTCGATCTCGTCAAAGACTGGCAATTAGCTTATGCTAAAGGGCTCGAGAAGGATGGCCAGAAGGTGAAACTTTTGTATCTTGATCAAGCAACAGTTGGCTTCTACTTGCTACCGAATACCGAGCACTTCTATACCGTCATGGACGAGATAAGTGAATTCGTGAGTTCTGACTGTTAATAGAGTTTGCATTATCTGCAGGCAGACATATCTAACAGAACCGTAACATTCCTCCTCGCGGGTCGTTTAAGAATTTGTTTAGTAATACGACTTACCATTTCGTTGATTATCATGTCGTTTATCTTCTTCCTTTGGGTCTGATTCTTGTTGGTGTAAAAGATGGCTGAACTCAGTCACCAGACTCGACAGTACAACGATTCAGCATCTAGTTGGATCGGGTTGCGTTCTTCTAGGTTTTGGTTGTTGCTATGGCTCTATGGCAGCAAGAGCAGCATAGGTTTAAGTGCAGCAGAGTTCCAGTTTAACATCACCTCCCCTGGCATCTCGCTGCAACGTGACGTAGAGGAAGATCCAAGTTTACGAGTAACTTTTTCGGTAGCTTGGTTTCGTTCCTGCTTAGTGACATATTATATATATAGCTAATTTCAGAACATGGTTGGGGAAACATCCATGATATTGTGATTCTATATGTTTATACATATGTTCTAGAATATATGAAAAAGTTTGCTTATTAACTCATGGTGATTGTAATTTGTTCATTTTTGCACTTCTACTACACTCTTTTCTTCTTTGGTTATTCTTATCTCTTTTCGGGTTGATCGTTTTGATCGATTGCGTAGCGTAGTTCGGTACTTGAACTGTCGAAGAAGCTTATGAAATTGGGAGGATGGTTTTTGTCATAAGGTATTATGAAGAGATACTGTTTATGTGTTCTTATCAACCAAATTTCTTGGAATTGTGTGGACTTTTCATTGGCAAAAAGCTTCATATCATATTTAAAGTTGTTTAAGAGATAAATCTAAAATTTCATATTCTTCACACTCGTAGGTAACTTTAGACTTGGAATATAATCCCAATAACGAGAAATCAAGAACGAATCCAAAAGGGTCTTAGGCGAGTTTCTCCTTTTATTGGGGCATCTCGAACATCCATCCATTCGGGTTCTCATTGAGGCATGAACTCTCTCATGTCCATGCCATGTCATTTACGGACTTTATACTTGATAACAAGTGCATATACCAACCTCTGTCACATGCGCTGGGGTGCAATGCTGCCATACTTGTGTCATCCGATATTATCCTTGAAGGACATATTTCAAAGGAAGTCGTCTGAGTTGCTTGTCTCACTACGCTTGCCCGTGTTGTGATACACATATGTGCCACATGGTAGCTCGCTTAGGCCATAGGGTCTCTCTCTGTTGTACATTATGAGGCATTTCCAATCTTTTTAGAGTAGACGTCATTTTTAGCTAAGCAGTTATACAACCTCGTGGAGCGTCCGTCGGATATTCAATTGACACCAAATTTGGTGAGTTTCATCTTTCATGTAGACGAATTTAACTCCAGAGTGGCATGCTGAAACTCATATTAAAACTCCGACTTCTGACTTAACTCTAAGCTTGTCTTCAATACTCGTGTCGCCCGATTGAATAAATTTAAAATGTTAAATGCTAATTTTAATTAATTTGTTAGGAGAGTTTAATTTTAAAAGTTAAAAGAGAAGGCCAACCGCCTTTGTAGAAATAATGGCAGGTATATGGTGGCTCTCTCGTACCTAGAGTTAGAAAAGGTTATAAATACCTAGGCTTTCTCTTGTAAATTCAGACGGAAAAGAAAAAAGAGTATAGAGAATAAAGAAAAAAAAAAAAGGAAATACATGAAGAAATAGAATTTTTTTTTTTTTTTTTTTTTTTTTTTTTTTTTTTTTTTTTTTTTTTTTTTTTTTTTTTTTTT